GCCACCTACAGACGCCTGCTAGAGGGCGAGGAGCAGAGGTGAGCCAACCCAGGGTGTCTTGAGCTCCTCACCAACCCTATCCTTGGCACAAACCCTGCTCTTACCTTTGACTGAGCAAAGGCCAAGAATTTGGGGACAACTCTACTGTAACACTTCTGTGTGGGGAGCTTTAGTGAAAGGTAGCACATTCCTTTAGAATTTTGGCTCCTAACCCCTTAATTATTGTCCATCCCCCATGACCTTAGGTAGCCCTATTTTGCAATTCAAGTGCACAAACTAATATCTTTTCCTTTCTCCATCCTCAGGCTGTGTGAAGGTGTTGGTGCTGTGAATGTCTGTGAGTATTTAGGGCTCCGTATGGGCAGATTTACTTCTATAGGGGAGGAAACATCCGGAGAGTGTATTCTCAGTGAAGGCCCAACATATAAACATGGGCTGGCATACAGTAGGAGAAATTTGGAGCCAGACAGAAAAAAAAAGCTTTTAGAGTTGATGAATGAAGAATCCTTGGCTGCAGATGCCCTGACTTTAATCCCACTGCTCAGAGATTGGGCAGGGGTGTTCCTTAAGAATGGTTTGATAAGGGCCAAAGGTATAGCTCAGTGGCGTAAGCACCTGCGTTGTAAGCATAAGGTCCCAAGTTCAACCCCTGATCCCAGAAAGAAAAAAGAGAAAGAAAGGTTTGCTCCTCTACCTCCAATTTTGGTGGTACTGGAGATTGAGCCTGGAGCCTTCACACTGAGCTATCTCCTCGTTCCTTTTTGGAGGGTGGGGTGTTAACTGGGCATCAAACTCATAGCCTCACACTTGCCGAGTAGACACTGCACTGCTGAGCTCTATCTCCAGCCCCCTACCTCCAATTTTGACTTACTTTCCTGATCCACAGGTGTCAGCAGCTCCCGGGGCGGGGTCGTGTGCGGGGACCTCTGCGTGTCCGGCTCCCGCCCAGTGGCAGGCAGTGTCTGCAGCGCCCCTTGCACTGGAAACGTTGCAGTGAGCACCGGCCTGTGTGCACCCTGCAACTCTGGTGTATCCTGCAGAGTGGGCTCCTGCGGCATCAGCTCCGTAGGCATGGGTTCCTGCACCAGCAGCTGCAGGAAGTGCTAGACCCCAGTGCTAGCCCAGGCCCAGACCTCTCCACATGTCTGGCTTTGCCTGTCCAGCCCAGGGCCCTAAAGCAAGGGCACAGGATTTCTGTGTGATCTTCACCTCTGGGCTTGTGCTACACTGGGACAGACTACTCCAGAAGTCTCCTTGGAGCCCTCAGGAAGGGGGCTCAGGGACAACCAGAATAAGAGCCAGAGCCATCTCCTGGGCTATCATGGGCTCAGTCGCTTGAGGCCCCAGCCTTTCCCCTTCCTCCTCTGCCTTCTTCATTTCTGCTTTGCTTTATGATGCCAATAAATCAATGTAGCTAGCCCTGTGCCTTGTCTGTGTCTACGTTAACCTTCTGAGGGGTGAGAGTGTGAGAGTGTTCTCAGAATCACAAGGTGTAGAAAGAGGCCCAAGCTTGGGGACTCTGTCCATTGACACATAGCAGTCAGATTGAGCTAAGGCTTGTAGTAGGTGCCTGTATGATAGTTTTATCCACATGACCTGAACAATTTTATCCATGCAACCTTAACAATATACAACGCAGATGAAAGAATCGGAGATCTATGGAGTCACTGGCTCTTGCACTGTGGCTTGAACCCTGTGTGCATCCCTAGTGCTCATACTACCAAACCACAGCCGCCTCCCAGGAAATAGCCTGAGCACGTCTATAAACTGATGGTTAATGAGTATTAAACTCTTTCAACACTCAAAGCTTAAGAAAACATTGCTCATTGATTGTTTTGGTAGAGACGACTCATGCCTGAGTAATTTATTGAAATTCTTGAAGGTATGAACATTATTTAAAGTTTCAAAAAGCCTTGCCATGGCTTTCCTTTCTTAATGGAGTCCCTCTGAGCTCAGAGACCTACCATTGCTAATGCAATGCCTTGAAGACTGAAAATAAAACTCAGTCAAAAAAAGAAACCCAAAGCTGAGAGCGCAGAGTCTGGAGCCACGCTGCCCAAATCCAAAGCTGGGCTCTATTTCCTTCCAGCTGAGTGAATTGGAATGATGTCCTTACCCTTTCTGTGCCTGTTTCCACATCTCTCAAACAAAGATAATAAAGGGCACCTGCCTCAAGGTTAATGGGAGGATTAAGCAATTTCATGTATGAAAAACATTATTGGTCACAAAATAATCACTATCTGCACTTATCGTTAGCATTTTTTATTTTGTAATGTAAAGTAGACACGTCTTTGGGAACCAGGGCCAGGACTAGCCTTTTATTATATCTTTATCCATGATCAGAAATGCAGTCATAGAGGGAATCTCCATTTCTGCAGGGCCACTGTGCACCTTCATACAGGAAAATATTCTCTTAGCTCTACCTGGGTCATTATAGCAGAAAGAATCTCCAATCTCCCAATCCCAGGCCTAGAAAATGCAGCACAAGTGGAAGCCCCCCCTTGAGGATACCAGAAAGAAGAGTGCTGTGCTGAGAGAATGTTCTGAAGTAGTTCTTATAAGGGGTGGAATCAAGCCAAGTCTCTGAGCTACCTCTGGTAGAATCATGAGCCTCACAGAGCACTGGCAAGTTCCACAGTGTTCGACTGTTCTAGCCAACCCTCTCTGCTTGGCACAGCACAGCTGACAAGCAGGGTCTGTGCAGAGTCTAACCCTGAAGAACAAGCACCAGCTTCAACCTTCATCCTTCCCCAGTGCAGAAGCCATCTGCAAGTCCAGTTCTGAGGGACCTCCTGCCTAGGCCAGCTACGTCCTTCACGCCTATTTTTCTGGTCTCATCATTCCTGATGGGCCTTCTGGCCTCCAGGACTTGGCGCACCCTCCCACCTTCCCCGAGCTCTGCCCCTCTCCTCCCTCCCAGTCTAGCTATGCAGTGTTTGCCTCCCTCACAGTTCCACTCCTGGACAAACTGGACAGAAAAGCAAGGGTGAACCCACCAAACACAGTGCCCACATCCATGTATGTAAAGAAAATGGAATTCCCTGCCATGTAACCTTTAGCAGGTCACCTCCCCAGCATATTCCATAATAGAATAAAATGTGTGGACTACTTGGCTGCTAAGGTCCCTTACCAACTTAAAGCTCTAGTCTCTGCAGGAGGTGTGGGACAGGAGGAGGAGCTGCAAGAGAAGAGGGAATGCAGAGTCCCACCTGCAGCTGTGTTATGCAGACACGTGGCATCTTGCATTCTTACCCATTCTGTGTAACTCATGTGTGCAAGTTCCTATGTGTGCATAGAGCAGGACGGCTACATCCCAATGCATGCCTATCTCCAGGCAGCTGTGTGGGAGCACATGATCGTGTGTGACTGTGAGATTTCTATATATATGATTACACACGTGATGTGCATATGCGTTAAGGAGAGGGACTAGTGCGCGTGTATGGGTGTGAGTACAGTGTGGGTGGACCCAGGTGTGCTGGTGTGACAAAGTTATAGGAGAAAACAAGGGCTAAGTGGGAGTAGTGATGGTCCAGTGCTATTAGATGTCATTCTTCATAATGACAACCCTCATTGTGTGTGCATTTTTATAATAAAACTGAAAACACTGAATAAAATTTTTATTTCCAAAATTAAAAAAAAATAGATATCATTCTGGGAGATGCCTTCTGTTCTTGTTGCTCTAACCATTGGGGCTAACCTTCCTACAGTCACTCTGTCATGCTAGCACCAGAATGGACAGAGGAAGGTCATCTGCTACTATACTTTGTACAGGCTTTAAAGTTGGTCAAGGTCAGGAAGATAGTTCAATGGCACAGTGCCTGCCTGGCAAGCGCAAGGTTGTGAGTTCAATTTCCGGTACCAAAAATAAATATTTTTTTTAAATAAAGTTGTTCGGGGTGGGGGAGATAGCTTAGTAGAATAAGTGCTCGCCTGGCAAATACAGGGTCCTGAGTTCAATCCCCGATACCACAAAAAAAAAAAAAAAAAGGAAGAAAAGTTTGAAATAAAGTTGTTCAAAAATATTTCCAAAGCTGGAGAATTGGCTCAGTGGCATAAGTGCCTGCCTGGCAAACACAAGGTCCTGAGTTCAATCCCTGGTGATATATAGATATAGATATAGATAGATGGGCTTGGATGTAGCTCAATGAAAATCACTTGCTTAGCATGTGCAAGTCCGTCTTTGATCCCCAGCCCTCCAAAAAACAAACTTCCAAAGGACTCCAGTAAATACATATATATATATTTTAAAGCACTTTCCACACAGCACTATCTTTAGTTCTCACTCAAGCTTATAATTGACATTATTCTAGTCTACAGATGAATTTGGCTCAGAGACATGATGTAGGGAAAAAATGACTTCACCATTTAGATCTGGGGTCTGATCCAGGATGAGACTGAAGCCTGAGGCAGGTGAAGAATTTGGTCAAGGTTAGCACTTCAACACCACAAAAGACTTTCAAGGGGTTATTTAGGCTGAGACATGCTGAGAGTGAAGAAGCAAGGCTCTGGATATCCCAGGACACACAGACTTCCCTGGACCACAAAGCCTCAGCCCCTCACGTCTACTCTATGGCAGGCCCTAGCACTGGAGTAGAAAGTCACCGCCCTGCGGGTCTCAAATAGAGATGTAGACACAGCCAAGTTAGCATCTTGCATGTTGAATGCTCTGAGTTTGAGACAACCATATGGAGCCAACAAAAGGCTGAGACCACATAATGCTGAGCAACAATGACTAAGCTGGTGACAGTTCTGCTCCCTTCAAAAGTCACCTCTACTCACAAAGTAGTAAATGGGCTGGTGAACGACTCTCCATAAAAGCACCCAACACTTCTCTTCCACCCTAGGCTGGAATGTGGCCCGTAGCCAGGGAAGCCTCTTAGCAAATAGATCCCCAAACCACAAACATTGCTGCTGACCCACGCGGCCCTGACCCAAGAAGAGACTAACATGACCCTAAAGCCCTTGAGATCTCTTGAGCTGACATCAGGCAAGTCCAAGGTTTAGGTTTAGAAAGGGAAACATCAGGTATTCAGTGCTCTATGCAAAGGCATGCACCCCACAAAGGCTGCCTGCAAGTCTTCGGTGCTATTTCTGTCTGCACTTCCCACAAATTCTCTGCGCTGAATTGCTCATTGCAGCAGGAGCTGGAAAAATGGCCTTGAAAAAAATAAAATTTCACTACTTCCTAGCAAGGTGCAAGGAACACACAGGTGGGCTCCCGCATCTGGCAGAGGTCAGCTCTGCTCCCGCACAGGTGTTTGGCCTGGGAATATCACCAAGAACACCGATATCCTTGGTGTTAGCCAGTGTTGAACACTTGAGGATGATAGGATCCCAGCAGGGCCATGAGCCCTAGCCCTTAGCTGTGTGGTCACTTGCCAGCCAAGTTTCGGTCCCATTCCTTTTGCATGAGACAACTTTGTTTATCCAGGAAAGGGGCCTTTTGGAAGTCTGTTCTCCAGGCAGGAGTGCAGGAAAACATGGTGCACACTCCAGCACTGCAATACCTTAAAAGGTAAAGCCAGACACCTGGCAAATGAGGCACCTTAGCCCCACCCAGGGACCATGCTCTGATGATGTAATCCTCTGTGCAGCAGAGAATGTAGGAGCTCGCTGAGCAGAAGCTGCACTGAAGCCTGTGTGCTAAAGAAAGAGTCTAGAAACTAGGTCTTGCTCTAGTCACTCCATCCTCAGACCATCCTATCTAATGCCCCAAAGTCCAGTGGTCTTGTAAAAACTCAGACCAAATTCCCCATAGATCTGGAAGCAGAGCCATCCGTGCTTCTCTTGCTATGGCATGGGGCTCCCCTCCCCCTATCAGGTCACTGCCAACCCAGCACACACACCAGGCATGCAGTTGTGCTGTGGTCCCTACCCCACTGGCAAGGGCAATTTATCCAGCCAGGGCAGAGTCCTCAGTGCCTTGTCAGGTAAGCAGGAGGCACTGATCCACTCTCCTCATCCTGGTCTGCTCCTTGTTTCTAGCCCACCTCCCCACCGAGGGAGACATTGCCAGACAGCTAAATCTAGGGGCTCTCCTCTCAGCTGTGTCCTCATGAGCAAGCACTACACAGGACCCCTGAGGCCATTCAAGAAGTATTTGTACAGTGAGGAAGAATCCTGAGGCCCCCTCTGCCAGAAAACCTGATGTAGACCCACTCTCAGCCCCATGTCTGAATTTTCTCAGGGCCCAACAACTCTTTCAGTCCTAAAGATCCCACTTGTACAATTATCAAGTCACCAAAAACAGGATCCCACCACATGGGACCCCACGACCAGGAGAGAGTTGCTCCCATGTGTTGTTCCTGCCCCAACCTGCCAATGGGGCCTCAAGGCATGGGGCTCCAGAAAGCGGTCAGTTCAAACACACTGGCAGCTGGGTCACAGCAGAACTTTTTATTGAAAAGGAGGAGTCCCTGGAAAGGAAGGGTGGGGCAATTCAGAGGGGCAGGGCACTGGGTCCAGGTAAGCCACAGACCCTGCCTATGTAGTGTTTCCAGTGCCCAGGTTGTCTCCCTGAGGGCTCAATCCCACCATTCTCAAAGCAGGGATGGTGGGTAGGCGGGAGAGGTGCACTGATAGCTTGCTTCACGGAAAAGAGTATCTGAGATAAGAGATCAAGTCTTCATAGTAAAACTGGGATTCCTGAAAGCGGGCAGCACCAGGGCAGCGGCTGTAGCTCAAACCCTCAGCACAGACCGCGGAGCTGCAGAGCGCGCAGCCACCGCTGGGAGCGCTCGTATCCAGGGTATCTGAGCCTGCTCCAAGAGTGAGCAGGACGGTGGGACCGGATGAGATTGGCCTGCGGGCCGGGGCCCTGTCCGGTGCGGGGTGGAGAGCAGTGTGGGAAAGAGGGAGCCCTCCCATCCCCACCCTGGGCTAAAGAGCTGCTGCAGGCCTCTCCAAAGGCATGATGCACGGACCCTCCCTACTGCTTGGAACAGTGTGCAAATTACCTTCGAAGGAGCAGATAAGGGCCCTTCCCAATACACTTAAAAGAATCTCCCCCAAGAGAAGAAAGTCTATGGTGAAAGCCAAAAAACGAGCTGCACAGAGGGACCAGTCACAGAAACACCTGGGGGGGGGGGTAAATGGCATGCACATTGAAAGGGGATGCTGTAAGATCTGAGCACTCTGCTCAAGCTTCAACTGTGTCCTTACCCACACTCCTAGCTGCCAATCCCATTTCAAGCCTGTAAGGAGGGAAAAAAGCAGGCAAATGACCTTACCTACTAGGTTTGATATTCTACATTCTGCAAAATAAATACCCCTGACCTTCCGGGTCGGGCGAAGAGCCCACCATCCTGCAAGCTCTGTGGGTCCCTGGTCTCCAAGTCCTTTCAGACCTTTCCATTCAGTCCTTTCTGCCTCTGTTCAGACAGCTCACTTTGGCCGATGACCTCTTGAAGGAAGGCGAAGGCAAGTGATCTGCCCTTTGTTAGCCTAACCTGATCTGGAAGGGTAAGCCCAGGTCACTCAATTATAAAGGAGACTGCAACGGAGACACCTTGATTATCTGAGGAATGTTATTCAAGCCCTACGTCATCACCTTCCACTGTTTCCTTGAAGATGTCCTTGCCCTGCGCTGAGACTCAGTGTCCTGGTCTATAAGTTGGGGATAAATAGTTTCTTCCTCCCAGGCTTCTGTGAGATCATAAGGAGATAAATGACACAGTGTGCCTGCTGCACAGTGGGGTTCTGCCCCCTCCTCTGCTCTGCCTGGGACACCCAGCTCACACTGATCACCCCTGATGCCCCACAGCTGTCTATGGTGAAAGCCAGGCCCTATCTGTTCTTTCAACTCTGCATCCCTGTCCCTGGAGGTGAGGAACAGAGAAAAAATTACCATTGTTCCCACCAGCTAGGCCTTGGTCCCTATACCTATCTCAAGTGACAGACTGTTCCTGTTGTCTGACTCTGTGAGTGAATAACTTCACGGGTGCCAGAGGTGCTTATTAGCTGAGCTTTTTGTTCAAAAAGCTGTAAGATGGTGGGGAAAACTGGCTGCAGATCAAATCATGAAGACCCAGGTGAGCTCTCACCCACAGCCATCAGAAGCTCCCCTCACCCCTCACCTGCCCTCCTCCAGCAGCTTGTGGTAGGTGGCGATCTCAACATCCAGGCCCAGCTTGACGGTCATGAGCTCCTGGTACTCTTGCAGCTGTCGTGCCACACCCTGCTTGGCCCGCTGCAGAGCTGCATCCAGCCAATCCAGCTTGTCCTTAGCACTGCACGAGGGCCCCTCTGCTTTCAGAGCTGCGAGGCCCCTGGATCTTTCTGGTTCACAAGGCTGGGGGGATGGAAAGACCAAGGATAGAAGGATCTCCTGGCCCCTACTCCTCCACCTCTAAAGATCCAGAGGCTGGAGGAACAGTGAGGGTATGGAGATTATCTCCAGTTGCAAGGAGTGAATAGGCCTGTGTCTAGACCACAGGATTCAAAGATCTGCCCACTCTCTGTGGTCTGGATAGAGATCTGGGGCCAGCCTCTGTGATGGCTGAGAAAAGCCCTTTGCAATCTGGCATGATGACACTCTTCATCTCAGCTAGGATCAGAGAGGCATCAAATGCTCCTTAGCAAGTAATCCTGGGATTAGTGTTTGATAAGAAAACCTAACAGGAAAAATATCTTACCTCGTAGGGTTCTCTGAGAACAATAGAAATAAGAACAAACACTTGTCTGGGTGAGATAGGCCTGCTGCTTGGCCCATCAGAGTAGCTGCCACTGGCCAGACACAGAACCATGACCAGCCAGCCCATCCACCCACTCTGCCACTGCTGATACTTAAGCAGCCCATGCCCCTCAAAGTCATCACTGCAGGGACGGGAAGACCCCACATGAACCATGAATATCCCTCAAGCCTAAGTCACATGCATCAAGCTTGACATGTAGGGGAGGAGGGTTTGGGAAGAAGAGCACTTTGGGAAGAAGAAATCTTCCCTAAAAATCCTCTTTTCTAAGTTCTAAGGCCTGAGTCACAAATGCAGATGCCCGCAGGGTCCTGCCTGGCTATAAGCCTCCAAAGGTGAAGGCCAAACGTTAGACCTATCAGTAGGATCTAATTCCACAAGGAAATATGCTGTCTCCCATTTCCCTGAAATCACAAGGACATCTTCCCATGTTTTCATTCTTTTATTTCTCTAGAGACATGGGCGCAGTGCTTTTTTTCTTCCACAAGGTAATGAAGCACAGTCAAGGTGATGATGAAGGTCAAAGGACCTTCTGTCTAGGAGCCCAAGAATGCGATCGGGAGTGATGAGGACAGCACACATCAAGCAGCTGCTACCATAGGAGACAACAGAAGAGGTGGAAGCTTTTCTGCCTCTCCAGCCAGATATTAGCATGTGGGAGTCACAATGCCAGATTTCCATATTTTAAAAGAGAACCCAGAAAACTGGGATTCTAGGTAAGGCCCTGCAGTTTTTGAAGATGAACTCATAATTAATGCTGAGTGAGATGCAAAGAAGACATTTAAAAAGGTACATACACTTATAAAACGGCAATAAACAAGTAAGTGTATACACTCATACACAATTGCTGCACATTCATCACCCACATAAAATACACGTGGAGCCCTAGGCCAAGGCAGGCATGAGATACACGTGCAGCCACCTCCTGTGCTCAGGCAGTCATAGAGAGAAGCTCCAGAGAGCTTCTGTCCAAAGGATTGGGAGGAAGGTCTAGAATAGCTGTCATAAAAAATGAGGACCCTCCCACAGAGCCGCCCCCACTCCCTCACCTCACCTGACCCTTGGTGCCATCCACCTCCACCGTCAGCTGCTGGATGGCCTGGTTGAGCCTGTTCAGATCGTCTTTGCTGTGCCTGGGGCTCTGGCTGTGTTTCTGCACCACTGCCTTTATCTCCTCACACTGGGGCAAGGATGGTAGAGTAGAGCAGTGGTCAGCAAGGGGGCAGAGCAGGCGCAGCTCCTGCGCACTCCATCACCACCACCTGCTACCCACAGAGGACCATCCTGTGAAGTGGGGATGGTCCTGCTCTCCCAGTGCTTGCTGGGAGAATACCATGCATTCCACTGCCAAGCCTAGAGATGCCAAAGGCGGCCTACACTGGGGCACATAGGGCAGTAAGGCAGGGAAGTGAGCTGCTGAGGTGAACTTCAAGACTGGCTTCTCCTAGGGGTAGGAGCATTCAACCATGGGAAAAGTTATTTCAATTTATCACATATAAGCAAAACTAATACAAAAAGTATTTGGTAAAATTCAACAATGACTAATTTTTTAAAGACTTTAAAAATCCAGAAATATGAAGAAAATCCCTTAACTTGCTGATTTTATGAAACAGAATCCAGAGACAGGTAGCCAGATACCAGATCCGTCCCCAAATCCAGGCCGCCATGGTGAGTGCTGTCCACCAACAATGGAATCAGAGGACCTTCTGCGCTTCACATGCCATACATAACCAGCCCAGCCATGGTGACACCCACACAGGGCCTGACACTTTTCCAAATCTTTCACCGCCCCCCTCTCTCACACAACCACCTGTGATGCAGACCAGGTGGATGGGGCCAGCTCTGTGCTCTCCACAGGCGGGTGCTCATTCCACCCACCACAAACAAAGGAGGAGGGAGCAGAAAGAGGCCCCTGCTGGGCAGCACTGAAACAAGCAGCACTGGAAGTCCATGTTCTCTGCTCTACACCCTGAGGGACAGATGCAGTCACACCAGTCCCTCGGCCCAGAGAGTGGGCACTATGCACTGCAGCACCAGCAAATCTCTCTGTAGGGCAGGTGGAGACTTGTAGGGCAAGCAGACTGCAGAACCCCATCCCCACAGTGTCTGCTGGGTCCCCACTGCCCCCCTCTTCTTCTCTGCTCCCCAAATGTAGGTGCAGCAGACAGACTTGTGCCGGGCAGCTCCAGTCCCTCACTCCTGGGCCCCAGGCCTCACCATGACAGCAGCTGCAGTCTCCTCCAACCCTCTTTCTCAAGCACTGAAGCCCAGCTCCAGCCCAAGGGACTCCCAGAATCCTTGCGCGGAGGCCTCCACTTCCTGGGGGCTTTGTGACCTCACCTTGTTACAACCACAGAGTTCTGAATCAGGAGTCTCAAGGGTAGGGGATAGAAGCAAGCCAAATGTGAATGCAGATGGACAAAAGACTGGAGATGCCACCTCCCAGAGCCAGTAGGAAATCCAGGTCTAAACTGGGGCAGGGAAGAAGGAACGAGAGAATACAGGCTGCTGTGGGCATTTTTCTTGTTTTATACAGTGTTCATACATGCAAAAGAGCATCTATGACACACATTTAGGGATTTAAATAGCAACAATGGTAGAAGAAATCTTTGCACTCCTAAGGGACACTTGCTGTGTGCAACACCATCCATTCCTGGCCTTGCCAAATCCACAAAGTTTTTTCTATGAGTGAAAAACGTAAGTGATTTTTGTTTCTGATGTCAACAAACAATGTTACCAGTAATGTTTTTGCATATGTCTGCTGACATACTTTATCAAGAGAGCTTTTTGGATATGCTGGCTGTCAGGCTTATTTTTTAAAAGAATTCAAAGTGATATACATGTTTTATATCATGGATCATCACCTACCAACATACACTCACATGAGTTGAAATTAGTTTCATGGAAAACTACCCTCTCTGTCTACAGTGGCCTCTGATCTAACCAATTACCATAATACAGCTTTTCATTTTCAATTTGTGGCCACATGTTTTAGTTTCATTTCTTATAAATAGTCTATTATTTTTGTTGTTTAATAATATAATGACAGGACTGGGGATATAGCTCAGTGGCTTAAGCACCTGCCTGGCAAGTACAAGATCCTTAGTTCAAACCCCTGTACCACAAAAAAAATAATAATAATAATATAATGACAATGAAATGTTGATGCACTAATCCCAAAACGTATGTCCCTTTAGTTGTTTGAACATTATTATAATTACTTGCTCAATCAAACATCTGGGCTATCTTGAGGTCAGTTTCTATTGATTTCTCTCTCATATTTTCTACTTGTTTCTCTTATATTCTGGGTAATTTCTTCAGATTTATCAATCAACTTTCTCTCAGAGTCTAATCTGTTTACCCATCAATTTGGGTTCTTAATATGGTTTAGGAACCTATGGTTTACATTTATATAAATTTTATTTAAGTCTTCTAAATCAGTCGATTAATTTTTGAATGCTCTTTTTCTAGCTTATGTTTTAATACTTGTAGTGATCCTCCTGTCTCAGCCTTCCCAGCCCTGAGATCACAGGTGTGCACCATCATGCTTGGTCTCAGTGTTTGGCTCAGCACGCCCAGGGGCAGGGCCAGTGCAGCATGTGGTGCTGGGAATTGAACCCCAGTCCCTGCACTTGCTTAAGCAGGCACTTAGTCCACTGAGCTATCTTGCTGATCCCTCAGTTCTCCTTTTCATAGGCCAAGGCTTAGTGCCCCACCCCTGAGTACACAGTGTTCCCTCACGCATCAGTGACCAACAGAAGCCCCTACTGCACCCCTGGCTTCATCTACTATGACAGCTAACAGTGTTGTCAATTTGAATAAGGAGCACTGAGCTGATAGGTTTAGTATGGTTGTGGATATATGCTGAACCTGGGTGTGCGTGGCACCAACAAATAGGCTTGTGGACTGGATGGAATAAAATGGAAGTGTCGTTCCAGCGTCACCATCACCCTTGAATATGCACCCCTAGGCTTCCAGGCATTCTCTTCACCCCTCCAGTAGGCTCTTCAGCCTTCCAATGCAGCCCAGTTGGCCTCCTGACAGAGATTTCCTTAGGACCCTGCAGGGAGCTCTGGGCCTTCCACACTTGACTGGATCGTTCAGTCTTGCAGCACACGGTCCTTTTGCACACTGCCACACCTAACTTAGCAGGCAGCCACTGTGAACCCACTTTAGCTACTGTTCCCTAGCAAACCTAACTGCTCCATCTACCCACAGGCCTCCATGGAGTCACTTTTTTTTTTTTTTTTAATACTGGAATACTGGAAATTGAGCCTAAAGGGCTCTAACACTGAACTGCAACCCCAGTTTCTGTTTGTTTGTTTGTTTGTTTGTTTGTTTGTTTTTGAGACAAGGTCTTATTATGTCGCCCCAGTTGGCCATAAATTCACCATTCTGTGTCTCCTAAGTAACCAGATTACAGACATATGCCGCAGTGCTGCCACTCCTCAGGCCCCCAGGCCTCCAGCCTTGAGCAGATAGGTGAATAGAAAGCTGACATGGATCTTACTGAGATTCCACCCTCCCCCCACAAAAAAAAACCCCTAAAATAATGGACAGAAAGTGTGGCATGAATTACAGCAACTATAAGGCAGAGGACTTAGGAGGAAAAGCAGTTTGGAGGCAGCCAGAATGCAAGGGAAGGGGAATGTGGGAAGCCAGGGGCCACGGGGCTGTCCTCAGCATGTGTTCAGGAGGGTAACTCCTCACACAGTGTGTCCTCACTGGGCTATGTGTCACTCTTAATAGCTTTTCTCAGTCTGAGGCACCAGGTGACCCAGAAAAAGGCTTTCTCTCACAGTGAGCAGTGAAAAGTAGAGAGCAGAGTGTGGTCCTGGTGAGATCAGGCAGCTCCAATTTGCCTTCATGCTGTAGGTGGTCAGACGGGAAGAAGGGCCAGCTAGGATCCATGAGGCTTGAGGGCTGCGGGCTTCAGGTTATCCACTGTCCCAAACCAGCGGGTCAGTCAACGAAGGTCACCTGGGAGAGGAGCGGGGAATTGAGGAGGGGACAAAGGACAGGAGATGCGAGAAATGGAGACAAGACAGGATTCTGATCAAGTCTCGTTTATCCAGGGGAAGTGCTGGGCATATATAGTGGAGGCATAGGGAAATGACATCAGTGGCTAAAAGGCACGAGTAACTAGGCAACCGGGCTATGACAGGAAGTTCCACCTCCGGGGCATAGCAGGAGACTTATGGGAAATAGGTGGGGTAAGAAGAATTAGGAGCTTAGCTCAGCAGAGGTAGGGGAAGAGGAACCCGAAAACCCACTTGCAATAGTATTGGAGGCCTGGAGTTATTGTGCCTCCCACAATCCACAAGCCCTTCCAACTTAGCACTTTTTTTTTTTAATGTACAAGGTATGCAGGGTCTACAGGGCCTCACTACACAGATCAGACTCATAGTGAGTCTCCTGTTTTCAGCCTCCCGAGCGCTGGGATTACAGGTGTGCACCACCACACCCAGTCTCAATCACAGTCTTAGTGCACCCTGGAGGCAGGGCTGGCACAGCATTCTGAGTATCACACCCCGGCTACTGTGCTCTGCCTAAGCAGGCACTTTAGTCCACTGAGCTATCTGGCTGGCCCCCAACTTAGCACTTCTTGTAGCTGCTACCACAAGTTCCCTTTCACAGAAGTTGATGCCACATAAACAACCCCACCCTGAGGGCTGCTCATACCTGCACAAGGACAATGATGCTACAAATCTTTGGCTGAAACAGGGATCTGCTCCCAAACTGCCCCCATGCCAGTCAGAGCTCCCTTACTTCCATCCAAGAACACCACAGAGAACAGTTTTTCTCTGTGTGTGGGATAAGTCAGTGTGTGCTTCCCTGTGACACAGGACACACTCACTCGCAGTGAGGCCCTCTAATTTAGTCCTGTTTCTTATGTACTTTTTTTTAATATTTATTTATTTATGTGTGTGTGTGTGTGTGTGTGTGTGTGTGTGTGTGTGTGTGTGGCCAGCTCAGCCCACCAGGGGGCGGGGCTGGCTGGCATGTGGTGCTGGGGGATTGAACCGCGGTCTCTTCGTTTTTGCTAAACTTGTTCTAAGTAGGTGCTTTAGACCACTGAGCTGTCTCACCAGCCCTCTTATGTACTTTTGTAACTGATTTCAGAATGACCTTGAACATGGACAAGGGCATTTAGGTAGAAACCAAATAAAAGCATCTGATGATGAGAAAGACTGAAACTTTCAGGTCTACAGTGAGGAATATTCCACTCAACATGTTCCCTCTTTGTAACTGTGACTGTCAGTGAGAGGAACCATTTCTCCCTGGATCTCTCCCCCCTCAGAACAGTGTCTGACATAGGTGTCTGCCCCTGGAGCTAGAATTACTCAGATATTCACAGCACGGATGTGTCTACAGAGCCTGTGCAGGAGAGAAAAGTCATTGTGAGCCCTGAGCATTAATTCCTGACTGTACTTACAGAAGTCACATAGTACCAGTTCTGAACCAGTCACCAGAGGCACCCTCGAAGTCCCTCCCAGAAGGCCCAGTCCTCCCCTGTTGAGGGGAGGAGGATCTGGGCCTTGCTACTCCCACAAGCCCAGCATCTCCCCCCAGCCAGCACGTTCTCCCAGTCCCCTGTGGGAAGCAAGCCTGAGGACTGTATCAGAACACCCAGGACCTCCCAGATGCCCAGGAGCTCAGCTCCAGATTCACCCTGCCAAACTCCAGAGCCTTGAAGCACCCAGCCCCCTGTGACTCAGGCTCACCATCTCTCTAATAGAGATGGTGCTTTCTGCTTGCCCTTTGGTCTGAGGGCTCTCCTCATCCTGGCTCCTAACCCCATGATGTCCTGGAACAAGCTCCCAAGAGCCAACCACATATTTCTAGGCAAAGGGACATAAAGTCATGGTGGTAGCCTAAAATCAGCCAGGATGGTAGCATTCACACCTGTGAAATCAGCAAATATTATAAATCCAAGGACTTCTTTGCTTTCTCAGAGCCCATTTACATTTCCCTACTGTTAAACATTGTAAGCAAACTATTGTCCCTACCTAAATCACTCAAGGAACCTGTTGGAAACGGGTCAAATAACACTAGTTTTTGACCCCTTGAGGGCAGAGATAGGATTTAAGAGGATTCCCAGACTAGAACAGAAGAAGCAGCAGTTGGGTAAGTG